CTTTTTTTTTTTTTTTTTTTTTTTTTGGTCTTTTTGAGACAGGGTCTTGCTATGCAGTTCAAGCTGAATTTGAGCTCACTTTGTAGCCCAGGCTGGCCTCAAACTCACAATAATCCTCCTGCCTCAGCCTCCCCAGACATGTTTTTTTGAGACTGGGTCTTGCTATGCATCCCAGGCTGGCCTTGAACTCACTTGATTCAGCCTCCTAAGTGCTGAGATTATAGGTGTGCACCATGCCTGACCTCAGACCTTTTCTGAGACAGGGTCTCAGTAAGTCTCAAACTTGAGATCCTCCTGCCTTGGTGTCCCAGAGCGCTGCAATTACAGGGATGTGCCACTGCACCTGACTCATCTATTCACAGCTCAAAGGCTACCAGGAACATCCTGTGGCAGGACATGATGAAAACCAGAGCCTGGGACAGAGGGACACCCCTGCAGCTCCAGAGCCTTTCCTCCTGTGGCAACAGATATCCAGGGGAAGTACAAGACCCAGAACTTGAGACCCAAGAGGTCAAGGCTTAACCCTGCTCCATAGGCGCTACCAAAGACCACAGCTTGCGGGGTGTGGTGGCGCATGCCTGTAATCCCAGCACTTGGGAGGCTGAGGCAGGAGGATTATTGTGAGTTCGAGACCAGCCTGGGCTACAAAGTAAGCTCAAGGCCAGCCTGAACTATATAGAGAGACCCTGTCTCAAAAAGACCAAAAAAAAAAAAAAAAGACCACAGCTTAAAGAAAAATTGCAAATTCTCTTATTTCATGACCAGGAAAATAGAACTACCCTGTCCTGCCTCTCCCCAGTGCTCAGGGAGCTAAGAAACTGGATGTAACTTCAGGTGGCCTTTTGCTCTCGGGGATGAGGTTCAAACCCATTTCTAGCCTATTTCACTCCACTGTGGGGCTGGACTGCTTGGTTGCCTGTGCCTGCTGGGCAGAGCCCCAAGTGCAGACTGGAGACAGCCCACAGCAATACTAGCCAAGTACTCAGGACCTGGCAACGCCCTTTTGGTTACACACCGGGAGGTAGGGTCCAGACACCTGGGTCTGAAGTCCTGGCTCCACCTGGCTGGCCCCACCTTGAATGGACTGCAGCTGTATCTGTAGAAGGCCAAAGGCTCAGCTTGGTCTGACTCACAGCAGCCACTGAACCTGCTCCTCATAAATTCGAGTCATCCACCCAAGGAAAGAGACAGAGGAGAGGACCCAAAGAACCTTAAAAGGAGCTCCAGAGTACTCCTGTGGCCTGCACTACTGCCCTCCCACCTGGGCAGAACAGAACAGGAACTAGAAGTGGATGAGTTTGAGAGAGGCCACTTCTGCAAGAGGGCCCCAGCCGCCAGCAGCAGACACACCCTGGGCTGTGCCACCCCTTCAATAGCCAGTCTGGTGCCAACTACAGCACCAACAGAAAAGAGAGGGGACTGTCAGAAAGGAGTCTCAGCCAGGCACTGGAGCTGGCTGAGGCAGAGCAGAGATGCTATTCCTCCCAGTACCACCCCTCCAAAGCACCCCCAGATCCCAACCCTGAAACAGAGCAGCAACACCCCATTAGTATGTTTTTTAAATTTTTTTTTTAATCGAAGGTCCCTTACTGGTCCTGTTTCCATGAGTGGCCAAGACCAGGGAAAAGGGGAGGGGTGTCACCAGCCGGCACAGGGAGGGGTCATCTCCACAACATTCCATTTATACACAGAACTAAATAGACAAGCACAGAGTCACTATTTCGGTTAGAGGTTGGCAGCGTGGGAAGGGGAGGAATAGGTGGGCAATAGGGATGTCGTTAAAAAAAATACACGCCCCCCTCAAAGCTGGCTGCCTGAGGGGAACTTGGTCTGCTTCAACCCAGTAGGAATCAGAAGATCAAAAGCAGTTTGGGCAGGCCGGAACCGTCAGGGATGGAGGCAGGAGGAAGGTCCAGGGGGTAGGGGGGCTGTTTGGCAACTGGGGTGAAAGGATTGCCCTCCCCCTGCTGGGATCCCCCCAGCCCCTCCGGTCTGGCAGAAAGGGGGCAGCCTGCAACCCCTTGAGGGTAGGTCCAGGGCTGCCAGATGCTCCAGGCAGGGGCTGGAGGGGCTCACAAAGGCTTGCCCTCCAGGGAGATGACGGCACTGCCGCCCAGCTTCTCTGCCAGTGTGCAGCGGTCCTTGACCTCCTCATAGCAATTTGCCTGTAATTCGTGCTTGATCCCTGTGGGGAAGAAGGAGGGGTATCTGTGAGCAGCAAACACGAGTGAGGCATTTCTGTGGTTGGGAAGGAGCCATCAGAGCAGAAAGAAAGGTACAATGTACCAACCAGCGGGCAAGGAAGATGGGAGGAGGGGGCCCCTCTCCCAAGTTGTTTATTCCACTCTGCAGCCAAGGCTGGTGCAGATGGGCACAAGGAATCACTGGCCCTTACCTGTCAGCTTCTTTTTGATGGCATCCTTGGAGCTGGCATAGATCATTTTGCTCTTAAGGGGTGCACACTCAGGGGCCCTGGAGACAGAAATAAGGGAACTTGTAGCAACTGCCCTCAGGCACCAACTTCAACAAACCCTCAAGCTGGCCTCTGTCTTGGAGAATTTTGTCAACTTCCCCATTGACATGTGTTTTGTTACAATCCTCACCCCACTTCCAAAACCCAACCTCTTGCTAACCAGGACTTCTGTAAAGCTCCCCTCCTGAGAAAGGGGGCAGTGACAGAAGTGCCTGGATGAGCAGCTCACCAAAAGATAAACACCAGATCCTCCTTCTTGCTCTCCTTGGTCTCGTAGGTTGCATCATAGAGGGCATAGCGACAGTCCTTGTCTGGCAGCATCTTGACAAAGGTGGCGTAGGGGTCGTCCACAGTCTGGCCCACATCCCCTACCAGGATCTCCTTGCCCTCCTCCAGGATGATGTTCTTCTTGTCCTCACTCAGGCAGAAGAGCACTGCCTTCTTGCGCTTCTTCACTTCCTCTGGTGTTGAGGACTTGCGCACCTTCATGTCATTGAATACCTTGATAACGCCATCAGAGACTGCCACACCAGAGGCCTGAAGGACAAGCCACATGCATGTTGTGAAGAAACGGACTCAGGAAACCGCTGCCTGTAGCCAGTCCCTCTCCATTCTCAGATCTCAATCCGGATGCCAAGAAGTACAAGGGAACACTTACTCTTAGAGGGTGGAGTTTCCTTCCCAAAGCAAATCACTACTTTCCCACCCAAGCCACTGTCAAAGGACCAGGTAGGACATAACCCCCGCAGAGCAGCTACAAAAGAAACTTGCTTTGAATTATGTAGTTCAACACCCTCCCTCCCTGATTTTACAGGCTAGACAACGGAGAATTATGAAAAGCAAAGCACCGGCTGAGCTGTTAACTCAGAATTAAAAGAATCCGAGGACTACTGATTTGGTTCCTCCTCATAGTACTCAATCTCAGCCTTAGGACAAAAGTACCAACTGAGAACTTTCCTACAAAGAAGGACCAACATACCAGCCGCAGTCTCTTCAGGGAAGGGGGAACCAGGACCCACAATGCTAGCTGCAATACTAAAAGGTGCCAACAGGTCCACAAAGTCGGTCAGAACTACTCAATGTAGATGTTTCACAAACGACCCACTCCCCTGCTGGACAAGTCTCCACCCTCTAAGAGTAAGTGCAGCATCCCAAAGATCGCAGATAGAAATTATCAGGTCAAATTCTAAAGGCCGAAATCCTCCCGCTCTCTTTAAAAAATTTCTACTGGGATCATGCTTGGGGAAGCCCTAGACAGAAGGACTGACCAAGGCAAAACCCGCTCCCCCTAACTGCAGAGGAAGCAGGACACGTGACCCGGCCGCTTCCGGACTGGGCGGGGAAAGATGTGCTAGGCTCGGCCCCCTCCCCAAGAGAAAAACCCGTACCCAAGAGGCTACCGCACCTCCAGGGCCCCAACATCCAGACAGGCAGATGGACGGCCTGTTAGCTGCGGGCGGTAGCCTGAACAACTTACACAGGCATCAAGTCTCCGTGCCTTCGGGCTCAACACAGGGGACAGAATGGCTTCCAGTGCCCGCTTGGGTCACTTCCCTAAACTCGGCTCCACCCGCGGGCCCCAACCGGGAAAGCCGAAGGCCCAGCTGATCCCGAGCTACGACCCCGGCGGCGAAGCCTAAACGTGTGCGCACGCGCCGGCCGAGGTGCGGTTCAGCATAGCCCGGGGTACAGGCAAGAGCCCTGCTCGCGACCAGGGCTCGCTAGCTCCCGAGCACAGCTACGGCTTCTCCGGGGTCCGCTCCGTGCCTTGCAGTGCGAACTCCTAACCGTGGGCATCAGTGCCCCAAATAGGACCCGGTCGCCGCAGCATCCCTCTAGCCGCGCCGCCCCCGCCCCTGCCGGGCGCCTGCATCCCTGCCACCTGCTCTCTATACAGACGCGTCCGCCGAGGGAGGGTGACGCGAGAAGTGAACAGCCTTTGGGTGGGGCGCGCGTGCCGAGACCTCTCGCGCGCTTTTCTCTCGCAGCTCCCGGTCGGGTTTGGACGCCGCGTGCTCCACTCAAGCGCGCGTCCTCGGGAAACGTCGCGCGACGCCGGCCGCTCCGCGAGGGGCGCGTGCCCGCGTGCCCTGGACCCCTCCCCCACGGTCGGTGTCCGCGCGGGCGCACCAGCGGGATGGGGGAGGGGAACCCAGGGGGCGCGCGAGCGACGTCCAGAGCCTGCCCTTCCCCGCGCCCACGGGCGCGCACGCGCGGCCCAGCACCGCCCGCTGCTCCGTAGGAGACCCTCATCCCGCCCGGGGCGCTGGGGGAGGGGGTGCCGACGCCGCTCCCCGATGCCCCAAGGGTGCAAGCGACAGACCCGCGGCCGACCCCCTTTGGGTGCCCTAGCCAGCCGCTCACCATGTTTCCGGAAGCGAAACAGAGACTGCAAAAAGAGATGGAGAAGACAAGAGCCGCCGCAGCTGCTGCCGGGACCCGACTGAACGCGGCCTCTCCCGGCCCCTTCCGTTTAGTAGGAGCCGCACAATGAGGGGCGGGGCGAGCTTCCGGCACTCCCCGCGCAGCCGATGGGAAATGTAGTCCGAGGGTCCTGCGCCGTCGTCTGGCTCGCAGGATAACTGTCCGACGCGTCGTCAAGCTTCCCGGCTTCGCAGTGCGTGCTGGGAAATGTAGGCCAGGGCAGCTGTAGGGCGGGACTATAGAGCGCAGAGTGAGCTCATTGGAGGAACTTCCCAGGGAAGGCTTTGAGCTGAGCAATAGGCCCTGGGCTCGGTAAAAATGACCCGAAAAGGATCTCGGACTAAGCGGTTCTTTATTGCAGGAGAGACACGATTGTCAATTGTCGTAAGGCCTGTCTGCCACTCTTCGGATCATTTGGTTTGAAATCTCTTAGTGGAACTAGGATTTTGCTTTTTGGCATCGAAGCAACTATCAAACGGCCTCTTATCCGGCCTTAAAGCAGAGAATTGCAAGTATAAAGGGTCTTCAACAAACATTTTTCAGTATCTTCCATGTGCAAAGCTCCCTTTGTCTCAAGAAAAGGTCAGAAGCAACTTCGACAAAATAAGAATAGGAGGGGAAAACAGGAAAGGCTATCAGGGAATAGTTGTAAGGAGAGTTTTACTAGGCAATAAAGGGTGAAGGGCGGGAGTTTGTGCATTGAGAACTTCATGTGCCTTTTACCAGGCAGTGAAAAAAGGAAATAGAGACTAAGCTGGATTTGAACTTGGTTGATAGTTTTATGGTTTTTGTTTTTTGACACAGTGTCTTGCTACATATTTCAGGCTGGCCTGGACTCACTATGTAGTCCAGGCTTGCCTCAAAGTCAGGGCGATCCTCCTGCTTCAGCCTCCTGAGTGGTGGGATGACAGGCATGCGCCACCAAGCCCGGCTGGTTTATGGTTATTTAATACTTTCACAAGCTCGGTGAGAGCGCATAAGCCTAAAACTGTAGTGGGAGGCTCCAGCAAGATTTTGTTGGCCTAGAATAATGACCATGGCCTCACATTCTGCAGGAAGAGAAGGCAAGGTCGCAAATAAGTCAGAAGCAAACGGAACCAGAGGCCTTGATACCATAACCAGAATAAAGGATGTAAATATAGAGACGCCCAGGAGTAGGGTACCTCACAGGGCATGACGGGGATTGTAGTCATGGACATCCGTCGCACCGCCCACCGGCAGAGCTCTGGGACCTCCAGGTGGAGGCCGCAGCTTGACCCCCGCCTTCCCCGAGCGCCCCTGGCTGAGAGGAGGCTAGCTCCACCTTTTTCGAGCTTCGCAGTTCCCAGAGTAACAACGGGGAGGGGGGAGGGCTTTACAGTTACCGTGGTGACGCGCTCCGCCCGCCCCCGGCCGCATGATGCCCTAGATGTCCTTATTAGGACAAGAGACTAGAGGGGGCGGGGCCAACCCGAACACCAGCTTCAGGCTCCTTATAAGGCCGCGTTGGGAGGGAGGCGGGAACACAGAGCCGGCAGAGGATGCAGGGCCGTAGGCTACGTGTAGTGTGAAGGGGCGGGCCTGCCGCTTCGGTGCCGGCTGTGTCCTCCAAGGCCCAAGATCTGCATCTCCGACTCCCAGCATTAACAGCTAGAGGCCGGCGGGGAGTAGGGTGGGGGATGCTCCAATCCCTCTACCCCTCAACCTGGGATGTTTGCAAAGTTTTCAGTCTGAGGACACCCCACTTCCAATTTGCCACAAAAGCAGTGTTCACTTCTGCCTCTACCAGCCGGCTCCCCAGGATCCAGTCACGTGCCTGGCGGGCCTCCCCACCTGGCAGGATACCCTGCATCTCTTTCTTACGAGTTCTGCGCATCCGCTGCCTCTCCACCCAGTCCATCCGGCTTGGCCCTTCTGTGCGCATCCCCACTTTGGGCCCCCAGCCTGCCCCTCTTTCATTTTCTCCCTCTCTCCATGTCCCGCGGGGGGGGGGGGAATCACCATTTCCTCCGAGATCCTTCCAGCTTCTCCAGCCTCGCCTCTGTGTCCTCCTGTCCCCGGCAGCCCTGCTTGTATGTGTCCCACAAATACACTTGCACTTATTTGTCGTCTCTCCCCCTATACCTCCCCACTCGACTCTTCTCAAACTATCTCTCTCCAGCCTTCTTTTCAAGAATGAGGCTGAAACTGACAGTCTTAGAGACATTGCAACGGCCAATTCCAGGTTTTCTGTTAAGCGCCGCCCCAGTCAGCCCTCCCAGTCGCAGGGGGCGCTGTCCGCTTTCCTATCGCCTGCCACAGAGATGGATGCACCCGCTTTCCAATCTGGTGTGGGAGGAAGGGGCAGGTCAAGGCTCCGACTCGAGTCTTAGAGGCTGATCCAGGCCTGGGGGAGCCCAGGCCCAGGGTTGTAGAGACTACGTCTCTATCTGTCAGAGCAGTGCAGGGGACACTAGTCAGATCCCCACTGGGAGCACGTGATTGGAAAGGTCCTTCCCTCATCTCTCCCCGCGCAAGGTGTTCCACTCCCGATCCCAGAACTGACGGTGTCCCTGTCTCGCGGGCGTGAAGTGCCAGCGGATCCACTCTGGGGTTCATGGCGGCGCCGGTCCGCCTGGGCCGGAAACGCCCGCTGCCGGTTTGCCCCAACCCGCTCTTTGTGCGCTGGCTGACCGAGTGGAGGGACGCGGCAGCCAGCAGGGGGCGCCGCACGCGCTTCGTGTTTCAGAAGGTGGGTCCTGGTCGGTGTGGCTGGGGTCGAGTGTTGGCAGAGCCAGACTACCTGCCTTGCCCTGACCGAGCTCCCTTCCCCTGCCAGGCACTGCGCTCCCTCCGGCGGTACCCGCTGCCCCTGCGCAGCGGGAAGGAAGCTAAGATCCTCCAGCACTTCGGAGACCGGCTCTGCCGAATGCTGGACGAGCGATTACAGCAGCACGGAGCATCGGGTGGTGAGCGCCTGGGCAGGAGTGGGGGTGATCGATCCCCTGCCTCCTCCAGGTGCAGCCTCCGTACTCACCTTAGATACCTTGGCTTTAATCTCCCTACTGCAGTACTAGTTACTCTTTGATCTGGGGCAGATGGTTGGCGCTCTCAGCCTCATAGTTCACATACGTGAGCAGTCCGCATCCCGGATCCTCGTCCCTGCCAGACTCCGTGGAGGTACCAGGTTGACTTTCTTCTGCTCTCACAGGTGACCGTGCTCCTGGCTCACCACCTGGAGAGAAGAGCCCAGCCCAGGAAAGGTCATCTGCCCAAATCCAGGACTCTTCCGTGCCAGTGAGGAGGGGCAAGGGAAAAAAGCAAAGTGGGAGTCCTGGGAATAGGATTGCTTGGTTTGAGGGATTTAGTGGGCTTGGACCCAGATTTCCATAGTGATTCTTGGTTTAGGACAAATGCCTTATCCTGAGACAGGGTTTTAATTCTGTAAGTGGGGATATGGTTAACACCTGTAGAGGAAGTTCCACAATTAAGCTACTTAAAGGGCCCAGCCCAGTTAGTTTTGGACTGCCCTCACTCACTGTTCTCTCCTGTAGTGTCAGACAGATAACCCCAGCCTATCCCTGCCCTGCAAGTGTCCACTGTCTCATTTTGGATTTACATGGGGTCATCCCATCATCTGGCTTGCTTTACAGATAAGGAAAGTGGGAAGCAACTAAGGGACTTTCCCAGGACACATATCCTTCTGAAACTCAGTTGTCCTTCCAGGAACTGAGCTGACACTGACAGGCAGTATTTGTATTCAGAATCCCTCTGTCCCTTTCAGGTTCCTGCCCAGCCCCAAGCAGGAGGCTATTGGCCGGCTCGAAACTCAGGAGCCCGAGTAGTCCTGCTGCAGCTCTACTGGGAGCACCTGGTCAGTGGCTGGCCATGCCAGGAGTGTTGGGAGAGGCAGTGGGGTGAGAGTGCCTGGCCCAGGCAAGGCGGGCAGAAATCATCCCAGCCACTTGGGCAGGGCCAGGAGCTCTAGCACTGAACCTACCCTGTCATTTATGCTATGGTTCAGGATTCTGATGGCCACAGCTTCCTAACCAAGGAGGAGCTGCTACAGAGGTGTGCCCAGAAGGACCCCAGGGTGAGCACTAGGTGGGGAAAGACAGGTGGAGCCTACCAGAACGCCTTTGTGGTGGTGAGAAGTAGCACTGGGCCTGGTCTGACCCCTGTGCCTAGGGTACAGGGGCTTACAGCACTAGGGGCTCCCTTGAGGGTTTCCTCCCCTTTCCACAGATAGCCTCTCGGAGTTCTCGACCCTGGCCAGCCCTTCGTTCTCTCCTGCAGAGGAACCTGGTCCTCAGGACACACCAGCCAGCCAGGTGGGGCCAGTTGCAGGGGTCACAGCAGCCAGGGATGGGCCAGCATGCACGGCATTCTTAGTGGGCCCCTGAAGTCAGCCAGCAGTTTCCAGATGTGATGCTGTCTAGGTTGAAGAAGCCTGCTCCCTGCCCCCCCAACAGCCTAATCTGTTGGAGTACCAGGAGGATGTGAGAAATTGAGGTGGCAGGGGGAGGATGGAGGAGTGCCACCTTTAGTAGAGGAGCAGAAAGCCTTTGCCAAGGAGACAGAATTTAGCATGACTTAAAATTTGGCTGGTAGAGGTATAGGACGGGTGTTTCAGGGAGGAGGAGGGAACAGCATGAGTAAAGGTAGGAGGAAGTACTTTGTCTGAGACATACGCATTGCAGACCTGAGAAACACCACCAGGCTGGTCCAGGGAAACTGATCTGAGGGGCAGGAAGAAGGGTGGAGGAGGGGACTTGTTTGTGCAGTGTTGCCAAGGGGGCTGGTGTTGAGGCCCGCCTAGCTGGGGGCGGCAGGAGAGCCTGCCAGGTATGAGTGAAGAAGGGAGAGCTGTGTTCTTCTCTTCCACCTCTCAGGTACTCACTGACCCCAGAGGGCCTGGAACTGGCCCAGAAGTTGGCTGAGTCAGAACGCCTGAGCTTGCTGAATGTGGGCACTGGGCCCAAGAAGCCCCCTGTGGAGGAGCCAGCACTGCCAGGAGCAGCCTTGGCTGAGCTGTGAGGAGAAAGGGGAGAAGTGGGGAGGGGAGACGTCCAGCACTGGGGGTTCTGGCCTCACATACAGCAATCTCCACCCACAGTGGCGCCAGTGAAGCGGGTGTCCAGCAGCCACAGCTGAAGCTGGGGCCTGCAGAGTACAGGGTGCTGTTGTGTGTGGACGTTGGAGAGACCAGGGGGTAGGTGAGGGAGAGGAGTTGTGAAGATAACCAGAGAATCCTGAAGGGTGGGGAGTACTGGCCCGTCCTGACTGTGGCCTCCTCCCTGCAATTCCAGGGTGGGACACAGGCCAGAGCTGCTCCGAGAGCTGCAGCGGCTCCACGTGAACCACATGGTGCGCAAGCTACACATTGGGGACTTTGTGTGGGTGGCACAGGAGACCAGGCCCAAAGATCCAGGTAAAAGCACATGGATGGGCAGGCATCAGAGGCTAGGCATAGTGGGTGAGGGCACACAAGCCATCGGGACCTCTGTTGGCTTTTTGGCAGCAAGACCTGCAGAGTTAGTGCTGGACTACATTGTGGAGCGCAAGCGGCTGGACGACCTGTGTAGCAGCATCATCGATGGCCGCTTCCGGGAACAGAAGGTCCCTTCACTGGCCCGCCTCCTCCCGTTCCCTGTTCTCTGCCTGCTCTGGGACTGCCTCTTCAGCCCCGGGAAGCCAAGGCACTGTGGGGTGGTCTCCTCAGGCAGAGCCCCCAAAGTCTCCAGCCACATGTCCCTTTGAGCTGCTGCAGGCAGGCCCAGTTCACACCCCCTTAGGCAGTCCTAGAGCACAGCAGGAACGCAGGGCATCTGAGCTGGGCAGAGGAACTTTCTAAAGACCCCTTCTGTACCCAGCTCCTGCGGTCTTGGGTGAATGACGCCCAGATGCAATGCAGAGGTTTTGTGTTGGTCTCAGCTGCTGAGCTGATCCCACAGTCAGGAGGCTATGAACAGGCCAAGGGAGGCCTGCAGGATTGGCTGCTCTCAGAGATGGTAGAGGGCTTTCCCACAAGAGTCACAGCTTGAGGACAGGGATGGAGCCGCCTGAGGCAGGTGGATAGGCAGCATGGGTGAGGAGGCAAACTGGCGGGACCAGAGTCTGATTTTGAGTGGGGCACGTGGGCACCCAGGCCTGACCCAGCCTCTGTTTCCCCAGTTCCGACTGAAGCGCTGTGGCCTGGGGCACCGGGTGTACCTGGTGGAAGAGCACGGCTCAGTCCACAACCTCAGCCTCCCCGAGAGCACACTGCTGCAGGCTGTCACCAACACCCAGGTGAGACGAGAAGGCAGGGCCAGATTGACAGGGCCCAGGAACCATGGTCCGGGCCAGGAGCAGCTCCTGCCCTTGGTCTTCCTCCATAGGTCATCGATGGGTTCTTTGTGAAGCGCACAGCAGACATTAAGGAATCGGCAGCCTACCTGGCCCTTCTGACACGGGGCCTGGAGAGCCTTTACCAGGTAAGCAGATCTGCCTGTTTGGTGTTGTCCTTTATCTGGGTCCTTGCTTTCCCAAGGGAGGTAAGGTGGTTGAGAACCCCATTGTTTAGTCTGGCCATCGAGGCCTAGGGCTGAGCAAGGACACGGGGAGTTGACCCTTAGAGCTTCATCCTGGCCTCAGCGCCCTCTTCCCTCAGGGCCACACCCTACGCAGCCGCCCCTGGGGAACCCCAGGGGATCCTGAATCGGAAACCAGGCCCTCCCCAAACCCTCTCTGCTCGCTCTTCACCTTCGGTGACTTCAACTCTGGAGCCATCAAGAACAAGGTACTGCCTCTGCCCAGACTCCTTAGGTGGCCCAGCCCGGACCATCCCTGACACAGGCCTCCCCCAACCCCAGGCCCAGTCTGTGCGAGAGGTGTTTGCCCGGCAGCTGATGCAGGTGGGCGGAGTGAGTGGGGAGAAGGCGGCAGCCCTGGTGGATCGATACAGCACCCCTGCCAGGTACGTCCCAGGAGGGCCCCTGCGGGTTCCTCAGCCCGTCTGCCCCCTCATTCAGCTTAACCAATGCTTTTGGGGAGCAGGCCTGGCTCTGTGTGAGCTAAATAGAGGGAAAGGTGGGCAGAGGCAGCTAAACCCTGAGGAGGTTGGTGGGAGGAGAACATTCCACCTGGTGCAGCAGAGAAGGCTTCCTGGAGGGGGCTCTGAGCCCCAAAGACCGGGGTATCTTTTGGAGCCTCTACTAGTCTGCCCCAGTGTTGCCCAGAAGGAAGGGTAGACAGGAAGAAGCAAGGCTTCAAACACCAGGCTCAGGAAGTATGCAGTGTCCTGATCCCTCTGTCCCAGGCTCACCCCCTCCTGCTTCAGCTCCCAAGGTGCTGGCCCACATGGTCAGCCATTGTGTTCCCTACTCCCAGCCTCCTGGCCGCTTATGACGCCTGTGCCACCCCCAAGGAGCAGGAGATGTTGCTGAGCACCATCAAGTGTGGGCGTCTGCAGAGGTGAGGACAAGAGACAGAATCTGAAGGCGGTGGTGGGGGCTGGGCAGCCCTAGGCCCTGGGCCAACCCTCACCTGCCTCATTCTTGTAGGAATCTGGGGCCAGCTCTAAGCAAGACCTTGTCCCAGCTCTACTGCAGCTACGGCCCCCTGACCTGAGCTATGCTACGAAACAGATCCCAGCCCCCTAAACCTCCCCACCCAGGCTAGCCAGCCTCTTAACTAGGACTTTTTTGGGGGACCACAATAAAAATTTAAATGTTTGTAGCCTTCTCTGTTACAGAAGGGATGTCAGGCTTCAAGGGCCTTGTGAAATATGTCTGTGCAGGAAGACATGACCATATGGTCTCTAGTATTTCTGTTTGCTTGCAGTGCTGGGGATTGATCCCAGGGTCTCCTGTGTGCTAGGCAAATGCTCTACTGCTAAATTGTACTCCCAGGCTGTCCAAGCAGTATGATGGTGCACACTTGTAATTCCATTACGCTGGAGGCTGAGGCAGGTGGGACCTCCATGAGTTCAAGGCTACTGTAGGCTATAAAGTAAGTTCAAGGCCAGCCTGATAGTGAGACCGTGTCTCCAACAAACGAATAAATAAAGCTGGTACCTTGGGATCTGGGGTTCCCTGGTTAAGGAGATAGAGTCAATGGGGACTTGCAATCTTGGATCTATCTTTTCTCCCCTAGTACTGGGGATTGAACCCAGTGCCTTCACACTGAGCTATATCTCCAGCCCTTCGTTTCATTTATTTATTTTTTGTTGTTGTTGTGTTTTGTTTTGTCTTTAGGTTTTTTTTTTTCCAAATCAAACTCACAACCTTGTGCTTGCCAGGCAGGCGCTGTGCCGCTGAGCTAAATCCCCAACCCTGTGTTTTGTTTTTTTTGACACAGGGTCTCACTATGTAGTTCAGGTTGACCTCAAACTTGCAGCAATCCTGGCTCAGCCTTCCAAGTGCTGGAATTACAGGTGTGCACCACCAGATCCAGGCCACTTTTTTAAAAAAAAATTTAATTTTGAGATCAGATCTCCCTAAGTTGCCCAGGCTTTGTGATCCTCTTGTCTCAGCATCCCAGAGTACTGGACTTTCAGGTGTGGGCCTCCATGCCTAGCTTTGAATCTACTTTATTCATATTATCGGATGGTTCCTGATCAAATACGATTTTCATTCTTAAGAGGTTTTATATCTTGGGAAAGAAAACCTGGAAAAGCACTCACAGTCCACTTGTCTCATCTTATATTGGAAACCAGGCCCAGGCAGCTAATTATGGTTTCTCCAAGTGTGTAGTTCGACGCAGAGCTAGGACTGGAAGTGTGGGGCTCCTGGCACCATCCCTAGCAGGGTTTCTTGGGCCCCCTGCCAACTAGTCACACCCAAAACTCCACACCTCATCACTTCCTGTCTGAAGTCTGTGGTACACAGCTCCCATCAGTGGGGCCCCCTCATCCTGAACACCTTCCCCGCCCCCGTTCTGCAGGATTTAGCCTGCTTCGCACAAGCCCAGGCCTTGCCCAAGCTGAGGTTACCCACCCTCCTCAGCCACCGGGACTCCTTCTTTCTCCCTTTATTGCCTTTTTCTTGCTGCCCTTCACAACATTTTCCCTTTTATCAGAAGACAGTCATCCCTGGCCCCCAGGCTCCTTGGCTACAGGGGACTGTGAGGAGGGTCCCCCCTCAGAAAGCGTAGGCCCCCACGAAGATGGTGAGTCTCAGTACAGAGCTGGCCCGGTAGCTCATGAGGGAGTTCAAGGTGACCATCTCCAGGTCCAACACGTACTCCCGGGGGCCCGTCACTGGCCGGGCGAGGACCAGCATGGCACTGACATTGTTGATTTGCTGCAGGGCACAGTGGGTAGAAGGACACAGAGATTGTGTTAGCTTATGTGCCACAACCCTACGCCCCATCACCTCCCTATCTTGTGGCTGTGAGGTGGGGAAACAGTCTTAGCTAGGTGTGACCTAGACCCTTACCTGGCTTTTTTTTTTGAGATGGCATCTCGCTATGTAGCTCAGGCTGGCCTTGCACTTACTATGTAGTCCAGGTTGGCATTGAACTTGAGGCAATCTTCCTGCCTCAGCTTCCCAAGTGCTGGGATTATAGGCATGCACCACCACGCCCAGCTTCTCATCCAGCTCTTTGAGATCTGGAGATCTCCTCCTTTACCCAGGTCCTGCCCTTGGAGATCTCTCACTCGTGTTCCCATTGCCAGCTAGTGTGTGTTATTTTGTATAACCAGAGTTAATTGATTCAAGGCCAAGTGTGACTTGGGAGTGGCAGGTCTTTTGGTGATCCAGAGCAGGCAGACTCTCCTTCAAAGCATTCAATGTCAAAAAGAAAAGTTTGGACACTAGACACAGCCCTCCTGCTGAATGTAGCACAGGGACCACAAGACTGAGACCCTTGCACGCCTCACTGTGAGCCACACCTGGGCCGTTCCACCTACAGCTTGCCAGCAGAGCCCGCTTCTCTCACCAGGGTTTCTGCATTTACACCATTCCTTGTTTTATGGATGAAGAAACTGAGGTCAGGTAGAGAAAACCAGTACCAGGCCTCAAACCCCAATGATAGGGCTTGTCATTTAACATCAACAGTTTATACCCCGGAACTAGGATACTACCTCCCCACCCTCTTCCCTTTGAAACCCCGCCTCCAAAGGTGGGGCTTTGGGAGAAGGGGCTGGGCCAAGTGGCAAGGCCCAGTCTTATTTAGGGTTCCAGGAATTTCATTTTAGATCGTGCATGTCAGTTGAGAGAAGCAGGGGAGGGTCTTACCCTAATGTAGAAGTCCCCCTGTGAATTTCCGGCACGTATCTGAAAGGCATTGTAGGCACCAGGGTAAACAGAGGTGGCTTGGATCTGGAACACGTCTGCGGGCACGCTCCGCTCCGAAGTGATGCTCATATAGCGGTGCACAATGGAGGAGGGCTGCTCCCGGCACAGAGGGTTGGAGGCAGGACAGAGGCAGCGGCTAGAGACCCCCAAATGGGAAACAGGAATGAGCACCTGACCCATCTCCCAAAAGAGGGAATCCCAAGAGGATTTTCCCACTCCTGGTGTAAGAGTACAACTCCCATCACCCCGCAGGGCATGTGCCAGCCCGTTTAGACACCAGTCTGTCCACACAGCCCTCTGGGAGTTGTAGTTTTATAGGGGAGCCTAGTTTGCATTGACTCACTTGTCAGACACCTGAATGTAGGGCTCCACACAGCGGTTGGTATCCACGCAGCGGTAGCCCCCATGGAAGTTGACACAGGTTTGGGCCTCAGAGCACTGGTGTGCACCCGACTCACACTCATCAATGTCTGTGCCAGGGGAGAGGGGCTGGAATCTGGAGTGTCAGGCCAACAGCCCCTGATATCACCCTGCCTGCCCCATCCGGGCAACCAGTACCTTGGCAGAGACGCGTGGCCAGCAGCTGGTAGCCCTGAGGGCAGTGGCAGGAGAAGCGGCCTGGCTCGTTGACACAGCGATACTGGCAGAGATAACTGGAGTAGCTGCACTCATCGATATCTGAGGGAGGGTGGGGATGAGGACCCTGGGCCATCCTTATAATTGGATCCCACAAACGTTTACTGAGAGCTCAGCCCCATGTAAGGCTGAATATAGGAAGAGAGAAAGGGATGAGACTAGCCCTGCAAAGCTCAGGACAGGGGATACAGGGTTCTAAGAAACGTCTGAGGGGTCGGGGTGTAGCTTATAGCAAAGTGCCTGCTGAGCATGCACAAGGCCTTGGGTTCAATCCCTAGCACTGCCCAATAAATAGAAAGACAGAAAGGTAGGTCTGCCCTAACCTCCCTGCTCCTCTTTGCCCCGTAAGAGTTTTAAAAAAAAAACCAAAAAACTAGAAGTGGGGTGTGGTGGTGCATGCCTGTAATCCCAGCACTAGGGAGAGGCCAAGGCAGGACGGCACTACAAGTTTGAGTCCAGTCTGGGCTATATAGCAAGACCCTGTCTCAAAAAACAAAGATAATAATAATTTAAAAAACTAGAAACCTAGAGACTTTGGAGTGAGTCCCACTGACTGATTTTGGGGAACCTCAATTTCTCTGCCAATAAAATAAGTGGATTAGATTATGTGAGTCCTAAGTTTCAGTGACTTGGCCAGTTCTTGCACCCCACAATCAGTCCAAGCACCCAGACACTCCCCCACCAACTGTGACAGGTAAGATACTGTTTTTCTACTGTACCCCCCTTATGCTGCCAGGCACCAACAAGGCTCTAGTCCACACATGGCATCATGACACCAATGGAGTACGTGTCAGGTAACATGGGGTGACGTGCAGATCGAGGACGCTGGCCCCATCTGATCCTTGCTGTGAACACTTAGGCAAGTCGCTTAACCTCTTAGTAGAAGGATGGAAGGCACCATTTACCTAGAACTTTATACTTATTTTTTATAATCCTTCTAACAAACCCGGAGAGAGATACCAATGTCCTCGTTTGACAGAGGAAGGAGAAATATTACACCTACCTTCCTAGGATTGTTGCCAGGATTAGCAAGTCCAAGTATATAAGGGAAGTGCCCTGCATGGGGCAGGTTCTCAATGAATTGTTCACTTTAGCTGCTTCAGACTTGACGAAGCCTTTTAGTGTCCTGTTTCAGCCTCTAGACAACCCATTTTACAAAAGAAATAGCCCAGAGAGAAGAGCCACTCATGCTAGAGCAGGATTTGAATGCAGGTCAGCCCAATTCCCAGTAAGAGTGCCATCCTTCTCTCCCAAGTGAGCTTCAGTAGAGGCCCAACTGTGCCTTCCTACCAGGCTGGGAGTGCCCATAATGGAGTATCTGAGAGGTACATGGGTGCAGACAGAGGTGGGACATGAAAGAAATGAAGGACTGTGTGGCTTGGGGCTCGAGGCAGGGCCTGGGGGACCAATGCAGGAGCCCAGGGCAGCAGAGGGGCTCTCACCGCTACAGGAGAAGCCGTCCCGGTGCAGCTCATAGCCCTGGTTGCAGCGACACAGGAAGGTCCCATAGGAGTTGAAGCAGCGCTGCTCACAGGGGGCCCCCATGTCACACTCATTCACATCTGGGGGGTACCAGGAAAAATGGGAAAGTGGAAGAATACGCCAGAGCCCCACTGTACCTGAAGGGGAGCTCCCCATCCCCTCTACCACCACCATCTCCCCGCCCAGAACCAGGAGTCTGGCCTGGCCCAGCCTCACCCACACAGGACCGGTTGTTGGGCCCCAGCTGGAAGCCCGGCTCGCACTGACAGCGAAAGGAGCCGGGCAGGTTCACACAGCGGTGCTGGCAGTATCGGTAG